ATTTCAGAAGACGAAAATGCGATCACAGGAGCAAAGAAATTTACTGGCATGACGTTTCGGATTCTCACTCAAATCCATCATCAGAGACAGTCGCAGATAAGAACACTGGTGGCACAAGGAGTGCAGTATTTATAGCACGTGGCTGCCATGGGACCATATGCGTACTGTAATTAACAGCTCTCGCAATCACCGCTGGGGTCGTAATTGATGCGATGATGGCTTGTCAGTCCGTGTCCGAGTCGTTACTGGCTGTGATTTCGTCATCCGTGTTGGATGCTGGTGTGACGATGGCTCGGCAAATTGGCTCACTGTCACTGGGATTATTGCCCGCCCGCGCCCTCCCCACGTGAATGATTCCCCTGCTCAGGGAAAATCTCAACACGGAATACGGTGACGGGAGGTCATTGTGCTTGTGGATGGATTGCGGGCCTGAGAACCATCGCTCGAGCAGCTCGCGGCTAACGCGGTTGTCAGCTATCGCGAGGATTTCGGCCTCTTGAAACTTGAAAATATAGCCGAGTTCCGTGGAATGACCTGCCACCTGAGAACTGACGTATTTCCCCCTCACTGCTGCTGCGTGCTCGACAATTCCGTACGGAGTAGTCTCCCAGTTTCGCCGCCGCAGTTGCTCTGTCCGCAACTGCACCAGATCCAGTAAACGACTTCAGACGACTTCCGAGACGTTCTTCACGTGCGGAAGAGACCACCAAAACTTGAGGCCGGTTGGATTTGGTCTCTGGTGTCTTTTCGTATGCACTGGTTGGCGAAGTTGCGCGGGTAGCCATCGGCTGACAGTACCTCTCAAAGATATTGCAATTCAGAAACCCTGTTTTCCAGTTCACTGCGATGCGTCTCGACGCGCCGGTATAGCGCCCTTACGCAACTGCGCTTGTGAATGATCGGGTGGTTGCTGTTGAAGTTCAGTATTTACGTCGTTTTCGTCGATTTCCTGAACACTTTGGCTTTTTGACCACCACAATTTTTACAGCAGACGAGGACTACATGCAATGTCTTCCAGATCAAATGTAGGTGTTTTGGTCGCTTGAACAACGAGGCCCCTGGTCGAAGTTGTTGGAGATACCGGATAGATAGGAGTTTCGTGGGACTTGCCTCATCTAGTTGTAAAGTTCTCCAAAAGGCGTGTATAAAATACTTTAGTCCCCTGGAGGAACTTACATAAATGCGACTCGGGAATGTCAATGAGCGTCGGTTGCCGTTATGCCTCGACAACTATTAAAAAATGTTCGCGTGAATTGACTCACAATACAGCCTTGAAGTCCTGCACTTTGGCTGCCAGCTCCACTTGAAACAGGACGTAGAGGCCTGAAAACATCTCAAATTATGCGAGACTTCCACTTTCAGCTGAGACAGGAGGGGAAAGACAAAAAAGCAGCGACTGGCCACTTGTGCGAAATCAAGAAAGTGGGGGCAGTGTCGGGAGGAAGAGGAGGAGGAGGAGGAGGGGGAGATGGTAGGGAGAGAAAATCGCGTCCTCTTCAAACTTTATACTTGAAAGGAAGTGATAATTGGCTTTTAAAAAGTTTCTAATTACGAGATTTTTAAGACCATGAAATGCCCCTTCATAAAACATCGTGTCTCCGTATTTAACAACGTTGTTTGTAAAGTTCACAATATAGCTCATATCCACTGTTAACCTGTATGAACCCTACATGGTCTCCTCCTAAGATGGTGCAGAATTGTATGATTTGCTGTACAAGGAAAGCGTAACGGTAGGTCGGGTTCAAAATAATTCGGAAATTAGAAGTTTTTCAAACCAGATTATAACCTTCCTCGAGTATAAAATTTGAAGAGGCCGTAATTTCCTGCCGAAGGAGCAAAAGAATGAATATTTTAATGCATGCTTTCCATGAAATATAATTGAATTTGTATGGGCATCAAGAATCAATAAGAAAAAAATAATACTACGCAAGTAGCCACTTTTTAGAAAGTGCAGTTTTTTGCAGTCGGACGAAAAGCATTTTATTCAAAATCATCCGGAAGTAAGTGAAATATCTTAGGATTATACCGCGCGGTAATTAATATTGTAACCCTACCTATGTAATCTGCTCGATTTGAAAACTTTTTTTCAGACTTTCGGTTAATATTTCATGAGATAGCTCACCTGCCGTATATGGCATGTAATACATTTGCTTTTCTCCATTAATGGCCTATTCTGGTGCTCCTTCGGTGTCTGATTCTTTTGGAAATTTTTCGACTTGTCGTATCCTTTAACAGCATGGAGGGCGGTGGTGCGACCTACGGAATTGCGATTTACGCCGGGGACACAGAAAGTCGGTCCAGTTCGTCAACTGGTCCATATAACTCCAATAAGCCGACAGACCTCGCTATCCCTCGAACCACCAGGATGAGTTGCCGCAGCGACATTTATTTGGACAGTAACCTTTTAACATGCCCCTTCGCTTCTGTGCTTCAGAAAGGTCTTCACCTCCTCAGGCAGTTCATTTATAGATACTACGATGTCCAATCCTATGTGGCCCGTTCTAGCCTTGCTTTCCTGCAGATGGAAAAAAGTAACGATGTGTTATCGGTACCAACCCCAGGCCCGAACAGTGCGTGAGCGCCTGGTGGTTGAGATGCCTCCATGATCGACTTGTCGGCACCTACAGTATCCTGTGCTCTCACCATCGAAATATTGCAGAATATCCTCTAATTATGATGCCGTAGACGAGGTGATAGCCGAGTTGGTAATATCTAGGAAAAATTTTCGAATCATTAGTGTTCCTAGGTATTTTGGCAGATTTTGAAAAATTCATATTGACCCAACTGTGAAAAACTCGGCGCCTCGGTGGGATCCAAACCCACGAAGGGGAAGGCTTTAGTAGAGCCAACACTCTAACCACTTGAGCTACGAGGCCCCGCCAGACGACTCGAATTTAATCACATTTGGGTCAAGTTTACCCGCCCAACCTACTGCAACGTCTGGAATCCACCAAATCTGATACAGTAAGTTGACTGCCCAAGCAGGATTTCCTAAGTAATTCACCTAGAATCCACTCGCGTCGTCCGGCGGGGCTTCGTAGCTCAGGTGGTTAGAGCGTTGGCTGTACTAAAGCCTTCTGCTTACTGCGTGGGTTCGAATCCCACCGAGGCGCCGAGTTTTTCACAGTTGGCTCAATATGGATCACTAGTGTTTAAATTCCATGTACACGAGCCCGATGCCAGCCCTTACCGAGGGGAAATATGGTAGCAACGACCGGACGAAATCCAAGGCGGTTTGACATGGGAATATGCTCCACCAAAGCACTACAACAGGTGACCTTGAGCTAAACTCCGGGGTGGAGGGTACCTGTTCCAGTGCCGTCATTTTAACCGGTAAGATGTGGTTTGGTAACCCCACCTGATGGACACAATACTGTTGGGGTTGGGGTTAGGAGTCAATGTTATGAGTTATGCATAGGAGTTAGGGTTGGGGTCAGAGTTAAGGATTAAGGCAACTATTTATCAACCACTCAGCGTACAACCGCGCATTCCTAATAGCTTTTCTTTTGCATACAACTCGTCACCTGTGCGTTCCCCCGCCCCAACTGTAAAAACCTTCATTACCACTGGTTTCATCTTACAGGTGGCTGGGGTTTGTTTACTTCAGGTGGGATTGCATAACCACATCTGACCTTTCAACCCTAACACCTACTCTCGTGACCCCAGTCCTAACATTAACGCTAGAACTAACTCTCCTAACACCAACCCTAAACCCCGGTGGATGTGGCGCCATGCCACTTATAATAGGGGCGCCCATATTTTTGTTCCTTACCACCAAAGCACAAAGCACGAACATTTGAGCACTCGAAACGCCTCAGAGTTGTCCACTTTTGTGCGCATTTGTGAAATGGTCACCTGTTTGCACTGACCAAATAAGGCTTCGCCTATGCCGTCTATAATCGGACGGCAATGGAGGTATTTACGTACTTGCTTTATTTCGGTCCTCACGACAGCCAGGGTTGAGCTCTCGACGACTTCTCATCAAATACTAGTCATGTTGCGCTGGCGGCCTCAGACGAGTGGGACGGACATCTTAGCGTAGATTCTGGGCTAGGACGCAGTCTGCGATCCCTTCCAGGAAACAATAACCAGATCATCGTGTTATACGGGCTTTATATGTGGGGCTAAATGACCGAAAGGAGAGCGCAATGTTAGGTAAACATTCGCATAAATGAGAAGGCGACATATTGCGTCCTCGCGCTGAATCTCTCTACAGCGATTTGCAAAACAGCACACGTACCAGGAGCTCGATCCCCGAGGAAAGATTAGGGTATGATGGTATCTGACAATGCAAGCAGAATTTGAGCACTTTAGCCGTTCTTCCAGAAATAGATTACATTCCACTCAGTTACGAGAGCGCAGAAGTGTCAATTATGAAAAAGGCCGGGACGCGTTTCGCCACGATGATCATGTTTTTGTCCCCTGAGTGGAGTCGCATACTACGCTCTTGCCTAGATTCTGTTATCCATTTTGAGATGGCAGTGGAATGACAGTACTTCTGAATTGTTGTTATCTCCACTGGTAGCTGTGTGGTGAGAGCTTAACGGAGTGGTATCCAAGTGTTTCACTCGGAGGGAGGGTGTGGCAAAGTAATCGGTGAGGTTTTGGCGCAACTGACCCTGTGAGATGCTGTCCAATGGTAAGAGGAAGTGTTGAGTAGAAGAAATGATGTGGGATATTAGTAGAGGTCTGGAGTCAGCATGTGAAAACTAGAGTAGCATAAGTAGTATCAGCAATCTCTACGGAATTACAGTAAATATGGGGTTGCACAAACGTTTTTTCCTAACCACTCGAAAGAGAACCCAATTCACTTAATGGCTCATAAGGAAGTAGGTGACGGGGCGGAGCATGACCTCAGAAAAAATTAGAATCGCTGAATGTCGATGGCCAGAAACAAAAATATCAACAACAACTCTTGGCACAACATGACGGATACGCCGTTTACATGCCCTCCGACCGCTCCTAACAAATGATTTATTAAATAGTCGGTCCGGAGTACTTCAGGAATTACTACTGCTACTACTGTTAGTGGTGGTGGTGGTGGTGGTGGTGGTGGTGGTGGTGGTGGTGGTGGTGGTGGTGGTGGTGGTGGTGGTCCTTACTAATGGATCAGTAGCATCATCGTGTTGAAGTTCCAACAGCTGGTTGAGGATGATGTGCATGGCCTCTTCAGCAGAAGTGTGTTGTTTTTTTCTGAGAACCTAAATAGATCAAATAAGAAGCTATCACCAAGGGCAGCAATAAACACGAAATGCTACTTTCTGCGGGAGAAACACCTGAGTTTGAATCAGACATATGCGTTTCCTGGTGTGTAGCCACAAAGCAAACGCAAAGCACCGCCAGCCGGATTCACCGAAGTGACTACCAGTTGCGCTAATTAAAGTCGAAATTTCCCAGATCGGGGCGTTGTCAGCTTCGGAGGCTGCACGAAAGCCACTTTATGTCCAGCCTGTTTGTTTGTGCGTGCGTGTGTGTGCGGTTTTATTTGCTTTATCAGCAATTCAATCAGACATTGAGGTTCACCCTGATCCCGGTTTCAGTCCACACTGGGCGACGGTAGCAACCCAATGAGTGAAGGGGCGGTCCGCGTCAATGCGTCGCACGCAGATTAGGCAAAAACATGACATGTCATTGTCGCGACGAGGGCCAGTGACCCCCCTTCTCCCAGCCCCATTCACATGCCCGTCCAAGTAGGGCTGGGTAATTCACACTAATCCACCTGGCCTACCTCAACTCTGAACTTGAACCCTAAGCTAGTTTGACCTTGAGATACGCATCAGCAAACTTGGAGACGTTGTAGCGTCCGAGGGCGTCAAGGGTAGCACACATCAAAATAAGGAAACGTTAAGAAGAGATCCTGGCGGAGGTAGACCTGAACAGAACTGTTAACATCTCTCGAAACTCATTCACACGCAGAAGAAGGAAGTACGTCAAATATGGTATATGGTGTAATGGAACGACATGGATATGGAGAATGTGCATAACAAACGTTAATGTACACGTGGAATGAGGAACAGCGGATAGATGACCTGTCTGGATGGATAGGTGAACCAGACATACTAGCTAAACAGCCCGTGGGGATGCAGCGCTGTAGGCACCTGCAGGGAAGGGCCGGGGGCGACGTTGATTGGGAGAGAGACGAGAGCGAGAGTGCTTTGAAGGAGGGGGGTGTCGGCAGTAGTGAGAGGAAGGGACACCGGCCGTCCTCACCAGCACGCAGTTACACCATCTCCATCCCAGGACCGCGCCAAAAGTGTTACAACATTCAAAAAATCTTGTTCGTGCCATGGGGCGTTACAACTTTGCATAGACAGTTTGCAGCCTCTTTACCGAGCTATCATAGTACGCTCCTTCAGGGAAAACATGCTAATGACGTGTCAACCATTCTGTGACTGCCTCAGCGGGCTTTATCCGAGATGCGAGCATACCGTATTCTCAGCAGTAGACTTGCCTTGCAGACGACGGGATGCGCCACTGCCCCAGGCGGTTGACCCTGCAGTGATTGCAGTTGTCCTCTTGATTTTTCTGCTACATAGAGGTTTTAGGAAAAGTGCTGGCGGCGCATCTTCCATAAATTCGTACTGAATGTCCAAGAAAGGGCAAAAGGTGTTTTCCATTTCAGGGGCTAGAACAGAGGCCATTAATTGCTGACCGCCCAGGGCCAAGTAAAACGGTGAGCCGCCTCCTTGTTTTGTGATAAACCGTGTGTGGCACGCGTAGACGGGTTGTTTAGCTCTGTCAGCCACCGCGTCCGAGGTCGCCCCCCCCATGGTCCTGACTCTGTCTTGCCACAGGATCCAGGTGTGTGAGAGCGGAGAGTGCAGCGGATGCTTCGCAAGTCTGCTACCACCATAAATTCATTTGCGTGCAAATCACCCTCCTGCGCCCCCCCCCCCACACTCTGCGGCACACGGTAGACATAGCCGTCAGCGACAGTCTGACCGACATATACCACAGTCCATGGGAGAGCCAACTTAGATTATGATAGGCCTTTTTCACGTAGTTATGCACGCTGTCCCCGAGGACGCCAAAAAACAGCAAAGCCGTGAGCCGGTACCCGTTAGATGGGTGAGTTTTTCACATCGAGTTAAAAACAGATGGAATGGCTCATCTGAGGGAGTCGTCCTACCGCCACACGCTGATTATGTAGGAAGAGACGACACACTAGAATATAAATTACCTCGGAGTTAAGCACCGCACCAATTATGAGTGTGGATGTCAGCTGACAGTACCACCACCCACACCTTCAAGCTGATGACAGGTAAGAAGTAGAAAAATTCGTTCGGTGGAATGCTGCCGCTAAAATATCGTTGTTCTCGTCATTTTCTTTCTGCTTTTCACACACTTTTCGGTTTTTTAACGCGCTCTTCATTTCTTCCGTAGCCTCTGACGTTTTCTGCCCAGGGAGTCTTATCCTTACGTTTGGTAACTGCCGCGCCAGCAATGTCCTGAGAGTCCAGGCAGCGCCAACGAAGGGGTCCATCGTTGTCCTACGCGGTGGGACCCGCAGAGATGAATTGCGCATGAATCAGTTTGAATGGGACATCAAACGTTTACCCTACATACCCACCTCCCAGCGATGGCTGGACAAAGTCAGGAGGGAGCAGTGGTTGATAAAGTTAAACACACTGCACTAATTATGAGTGTGAGTGTCAGCTAACAGTACCACCACCCACACCTTCAAGCTGATGACAGGCAAGAAGGAGAAAAAATCGTCCAATGGAATGCTGCCGCTAAAAAGCGTTTTTTTCGTCGTTTTTTCTGCTTTTCACACACTTTTCTGTTTTTTTCACGCTCCCTTCACTTCTTCCGTAGCCTCTGACGTTTTCTGCCGATGAAGCATGAGTGCCTTGTCCTAGCGTTTTGGTAAGTGCCGCACCAGCAATGTCCTGAGAGTCCAAGCAGCGCCAACGAAGAGGTCCATCGTTGCCCTACGAGGTGGGACCCGCAGAGATGAATTGCGCATGAATCCGTTTGAGTGGGGCAGGCTTCCGCTGTACCTACATCAAACGTTGACCCTACGCACCCACCTCCCAGCGATGGCTGGACATAGTCAGGAGGTCGGCAGATTGTGGTGGGAGCAGTGGTTGATAAATTTAAACAATCCTAGTAGAAGCGAACAGGTCAGTTCCAGGTAGGAGTTCAGAAGACGAAGATGCGATCACTGAAACAAAGATATTTACTGGCATGACGTTTCGGATTCCCGCTCGAACCCGTCGTCAGAGACAGTCGCAGATAAGGGTAATGGTGGCACAAGGAGTGCAGTATTTATAGCACGTGGCTGCCGTGGGACCATATCCGTACTGTAATTAACAGCTCTCGCAATCACCGTGGGGGTCGTGATTGGTGCGATGGTGGCTTGTCAGTCCGCGTCCCCGTGTCGTTAGTGGCTGTGATTTCGTCATCCGTGTAGGATGCTGGTGTGACGATTGCTCGGCAAATTGGCTCACTGTCACTGGGATTATTGCTCGCCCGCGCCCTACCCACGTAACTGAGTCCCCTGCCCAGGGCAAATCTCAGCGCGGAATACGGTGACGGGAGGTCATTGTGCTTGTTGATGGATTGCGGGCCTGAAAATCCGAAAGACCAGTAAATTTCTTGTTACGGTGATTACATCTTCGTCTTCTGTTAAGCAATCCTCCTACACGTGCTACACACGAACTGACCCCTATTCCATCTGCACCGGGCATGCCTCGGGGAGTCTCGAATCTCTCACACAATGAGTGTCAACACGGCTGGATAAGCAAAGGACAAGTGCAGCCTGACCATCGGTCCTGTGTAGGACCGAATTACCCCGTCATTTGGCAATCTCTTCGGGCCACAGCCGCTGTGCGTCTTTATAGATTCAGGCGTGTCAGATTTGTTGCAAATAGGAGCGGGTTGATTTGCCGTGAGGATGGATTCCTCCTCAGTATTGCCTCACTCCGTCTTTCCTCCTCCTCCTCCTCCTCCTCCTCCTCCTCCTCCTCCTTCTCCTCCAGGCGTCAGTCAACTCCCTGAGCTTGTCGCCCAACTGCTGGTTAAATTGGATGCAGTGAAAATTGAGCGGCCTGTCTTCGTGTACCACACGCAACCTGGACCGCACCACGTGTGTCAGATTGCCTTCAATGGGAGTCCCTGATCACACATAATTGAGGCCGTCACAAAGGCCATATTCTACAAGTAACGTGGTTACAGTAACAGGAATTGAGCGGCTTTTTCGGCACGACACTTTCGCTACTCGTTCTTCATCCTCAGCACACATCGTTGAACAGCAGTCACATTTTATGCAAACTATTTTTATTCGTTCTGTAGAACGTATATATTTTTCATTTTTCATATTGACCCAACTGTGAAAAACTCGGCGCCTCGGTGGGATTCGAACCCACGCAAAAGTTCTCGCCCGAAGTATAGACTTGTCATATGTCGAATCGAATGGGGTTAAGTAGGTTATCCTAGCAACTAGACGGAATAGATGTTTTCGTTTTGTCTTGAGAGCCCTTAAAGGAGACCGTCTAGTGATGAGGAATCAATACTCGAAGAGACGTACCGACAAGTGCAGAGCAAATCGAAACGACTATTTCCGACTAATTTGCTGTTGTCTGGCCCTCGCACCCAAACCCCACGCAGACCAGGGACCTGGAAAATAATGACGGACGGTTTGCAAGTAAGGGGAAATTAGCGTGGACTCGAGAGCCTCAATTTAGGGGAGAAAATAGTTGGAGGAAAGCGGATGGAACAGAAGTAAGCAGGCGGAAAATTGCGTAAATTTCTTGTTTCTACGGTGGGAGCACATGTGTGACCGCGACCAGCTGCCCCTCCACTGGACCAGAAGACTGAGCGCTTGTTGCTCCTGCCTACCCGCTGTCGCCTCCTCCTCCTCTCCGTCCCCCCCCTCCCCGGGATGATCACAGTCGGGCGGACAGTGAATCAGGGATCGCCAATAGGAAGAGCTTAACAAGGCTTCCTTTATTCGGGCACAGATTGTATGCAACGCAAGCTTTAAGGCTATGCCCCCGATAGTATTGGAATTCGTTGCGCACGAGGGAGCCTGAGAGGCTTGAAACCAGGAGCCCTGGGCTGGGATTCCATGTCGTAGACGTACTAAACTGTACCTGATGTGTACCGGAGCAGACCTGATCTGGCCAACTTTGGGCGTTTTTGGGGAGTTTTTATGCATAAGTTAAGTCGGTTTGCACTAGATTGTCTCTTCTATCGCTTTGGCCCCTTTGTACCTGACCGCAAGGCAGTGATTTTAAGCGAAACTATTCATTGGCGGTTCCCGGTCGCAGTGTCACAATGCCGTCGTCGGGCTCCTCGTTATCCGAAAGGACAATCCTTGTGCCAGGCACTGGCCCCACCTCTTCTGGTCAGCGACCGCTGATTCACTGCTGCTGCTGCTACTTTCCCAGTGAGCTTTTGCTGATGGTTCTTCCACTATCCGCAACCCGTGAACCCCTTGAATAGCCAGCAGCCAGGCTAACTAGCACAGCCTTCTTCCCCGACAGCAAGTCGAATTAGTCATACTTCAGACTAGAAGGATTTATGGATGGCTTCACCCTAAAACGCAGGATATTTGCGGATTTCTCAAACCGCACTGTATTCCGTGAACGCAGCTGCCACCAGCACCACGCCAGTGTCATTACTGAATGCTGTTCCTAATGCCTGCGAGAGAGGTGCCAGTAGCATCAACCACCTATTCATAAGCTGTGCCTTTCCTAATAATTATTGTGTGGATTAAATACTGAACCTTATTTGCATGAGTTATTTTGACCCAACTGTGAAAAAGTCGGCGACTTCGGTGGAATTCAAACTCACGACAGGAAGGCGAGGACCCGAGGACAGTCAAAACTATAGCCACGTGAGGTAAGAGCCCTCGACAGGGAGTTGTGAGTTCACTCAAATTTGTGTCAAGTTACCCGCTCCGCCTACTGCAACGTATGCAATTCACAGAAGCTGACACAGTAAGCTGAAAGCCCAAGCAGAATTTCCCACCAGATGACTACCAGACTCACGTAATCAAGAGGTGTTTTGTCAGACTCCAAATAGTTTATCTCGACCCATTTGTGAAAAAACTCGAATGCTAGATTTGATGGATTCCATGCCTTGCAGTAGTCTAGATGGGTGACTTGACCAAAATGTGATTAAAATCACACCTGCCAATGGGGCATCGTAGTTCAGGTGGCCAGAGCGTTAGCTGTACTCAAGCCGCCCCCTTGATGTCGTGGGTTCGAATCGCACAGAGGTCGCCTAATCTTTCACAGTAGTGTCAAAATAAATTATTCAGAATTTTCCAAAACACGGTCCACGGTTGTGATTACATTTTGTACTATATCACTGGCAATAAATCTCCATTATATGGCCATATAAATTTACTGCGGTTTCTTTTTCTACAGCCGTGTGACGTACGCCGTCACCCAAGGGGAATATACTTTCAGATGTACAGTGACCCCTCCTAGATCGCGAGGGTTGCCTTCCAGAACTCCCCACGAAAAGTGAAAATCAACGAAGTAGAAACCATATGTTTTATAGTTACATTCATATAGTCTAGGCCCTCATAAACCCTCCCACATTCTCTTAGACATTTCTCACACAGTTATACAGCCCAAACTCCTTATATTCTCTTAGATATCAGGTAAGATTCGCTGAAATGAACTGGACGAACCAACTGAGAAGGCATGTACTAGAAATAAAAATGTCCCTTGTAGTCACAAGTCAGCGATGTATATCTAGATATGCTTGTATATAAAGTCCGCGATAGAGTAAGGCCACGAAAGCCAAAACGCGAAAT